TTCAGCCACTGTTGAAACTGATCAGTTTCAGCAGCGGCTGAATCTGGACGCCAGTTCCGACTTACACACAGATTCAACTTAAGAACAAACCTACAGTCCCTAACTTGTACGTAACCCGGGGACTGCCTGTATTCCTCGTAGAATGAGGTTTACCGTCGTCGACAAAACTGCTGAGTTCTGTCGACGTTATGAGGCTGCCTCCCCAACCTCCAAGTCAAAGATAGGGGATGCGCGAGTCCTGAGCATGCTCCGAGTTCTTGTATGTCTTTATGCTGTTATCACTGCTGGATTGGTAAATATCACTTAAATATATTAATTATTGGTTTAGTTAATAGTTGAATTGTGTTAATATCACTGTGTAATTCCGTAGAGTGTAACTGAGTCCTATTAATTACACTGTGTAAATTGTATAATTTTGTGTTGTGCAATAGTGTTGTATTTAGGCCAAGTATAAGTGTTTGAAATAAAAACCCAGGAGTTGTTAAGCTGTAGAAGTAAATCAATAACTACCTCCACCAGCTGCCCAAAAACAACAAGAGGGACTGGCTGTGGGCGGAGTTATTATTATTACATTGGCTTTGTTTTTTGTATTTTTTGCTTGCATGCTGCACTGCCTCAAGCGAATTAGAGACAGTAATTTGATATAATTGAACTGTAATTACAGAGTTTGTAACCAGTTAAGTGCAGTTTAGTTCAGGTTTTCCCCCTTGAAAAAGCATTAGGCAATTGATTGTTTAAAACTCTTTTTTAAAAGTCATTTGGTTTTAATAAAAGAATCATTCTGTTTAATAAAAAATCATTTGTTTCACCATTATCCGGTAGTTTTCACTGGGTAGTCGGCTTTAAACCCTTGGAGCTCCCACCACATTGCTGAACCAAGTTGCGACAAACTGTACAAGGCAAAGTATGAATACTGGTACTTACCAATATATTTGTATGTTTTTCCCAGTTTTACCAGATGTGTTAAAGATTGTTCCACTATAGTTGCAGTCCACTGATTGACTTTGTTGTGATTGTAATCGACCTTGCCCAAAATTCCTTCTATGCACTGAAAATAGAGAAATCAATTGCACTAATAATACATCAATAAGAAATGTCTCAAAACAAGTCCTATTTAATAGACTAACTCTACTATAGGGAACTCGAAAAACGTGCTAAACAATCCCAGAATATTTGCAAGGCAAGCGTCGTAAAATAATTTGTAATTTAGCTCACTGCATGCTGAATTGGGAAATAAAAAAGTATATAAATTCTGCATCCATAGATGCCATAGCTTGTGGTTGCCTGGAATGCTGAGGTGTCACTGCTTGAGCACTGCAGCTCCTAAGTGCTACTGGAACATTTAAAAAAAACTAAACTTTCAGTGAAGGAGTATATCTAATGGAAACAATATACATTGGTTTAACCCAACAGTATAAACCTAAAATAGTAAGAAATGTGCTGTATTCTCCATGTAAATGTAATCCCTTCTAATTCTAATTAAATCACAGACTCTCTCAAAAAGAAATTCATCCAATTGAATTCATATGCTGAAACAAAATATATCAAACAATCTCAAATTGTAAAGAAATTAAGAGCTGTAGGTTTCTATTTATTACTGTTTTATGAATGTTTATTCAAAAGAAATATGCAAAGTGTCTTGTCTTACTAGATCTGCATTAATGCTAGACAACAGTATGGTAATGTTAGCTACATTTTTTAAATGGGGAATGGATGCTTAGTTTAATACTCAGTAGCAGATGCAAAAAATGTGTACAGTATATGCCTTTCCCTTGAAAGTCTAATTGTGTAAAGAGCTGAACTGTGTCTGACATTGTTTTTATGCATACTGGAACAGTTTTTGAAATGTGCAGTTTGACAGGATGTGCAGAGAAGGACCTGCAGGCTCCAAAGTCCTTCTGGAATCTCCTACAGAACTTCACATGGCCAGTAAACAATAGACTCTGCATTAGTCAGTTACTGGTTGCCATGATGTTGCATTTAAAAAATTATATTACAGACTATTCATTGTAGCCTACTCTGCCTTTGTAGAAAAAACATAAAAATCTGTTTTCAAAACTTATTCCAAAATTACATGCATATTTATTTATTAAATATATGTAAAAAGCTTGAAAGTATCATTGAAAGTGACCTGTCACTCTTTATAAATATTGTATTTCATTCAAGACACTAAAATTGTTAAAAACATAGCCTACCTCCTTAACGATGTTGTGAGCTTCCTCAGCATTGAAGATCATCTACAATTTAAAAGTATAATCAGTTACTTATAGCATTTAATATTACTTGGAGAATAAAAGAAAACCTTGATATGGTTTTCCTTACCTTAACTAGAAAAGGCATAAACTATGCACCATATTAAGTTAAATTATATTTTAAACATGACCTAGATCAAAATAGTTTTAAAAAATAGTTATACATTCTCCACCATAATACAGCTGCCATCTTGCATGAATCCCTGTGCTACAACCCCCTCAAAAAGAGAGGCTTTAAAAAGCTGAGGCCTGGATGCCAGGAACCAACATTTTCCCCTATTCTAAAAGATTCTCATACCATAACTCTAGGCATGTCTTACACATCATCATGAATATTTACCAGAACAAAACCGAACTGAATTCCTGTCACAGGGATCCCAATCCCACTGAAATTAGAATTCCTATTGATAAATTTTAGCAAACTATAAAACAGTGGATTGCAATCGTAGTTCAGGATGTTCAAAATTGTGTAACAGGGTAACCACGTAACGGGGGGGCAGGAAGATCCGGTGCTTATGAGGAGCCAGCTTTTAAACTAGCTCTTCCAAGGCACCAGCTCCCATTCCCCCCCTTGCTGTTTCTGATACAGAGGCAGCAAGGGGAGGGGGAATGAATGTAGTTGACAAGATTAACTGATAAATCCAGGCTTATTGATTAATCGTGTCCCTAGCCCACAGCGAAGGCATCTCTGGGCAGCCCTTGCCAACCCAGCTCCCATGAAGGTAGCTTTGCTGCCCTATCATGGCGAATCTGTCTCCCCAGAGCCAGCTGAGTGTAACCCAGACCATTAACTTATAAGTATCAGATTATCAATTAAACGATTATTCGGTTATACTCTAACATCTCTAATCCTAGTACAACAGCTGGGTTTCCTTAGAATTCCAAGTCACTTAATCAGAATTTTGTTTTCATTTAAATCACCAAGCTTCTCTGTGGTTGTTTCCTGCCCTCCCTTCTCATCTTTTCCTAAGTTTTCTCTCTGTTGCCTTCCCTCCATTAGTTTATTCCACATTATTTTCTCCCTCCACTCTCCTACATTCTTTACCTAGTACATAACACTTGGATATTGGGCGCTGTACAAAAAATAGACAAAAAGGTGCACAAGCAGAATACCCAATGAGAACATAGTCATTTCCATTTTCACTTTGTTCTAATGGTTCCTAGAAGTGGAGCAGCATGGTTGACTAGCCAGAGTTTTTCAACCAGTGGTACGAGTACCCTTAAGGGTACTCAAGAGAAGTCTGGGGGGTACGTCAACACAATTGGAATTTGGAGAAAACTGAATTTTTAAGTTTTACAGCGTTGTATTATTTTTGTACTTTTTACACACAGCCCACGCAGCTACAATTAAGTTGTTTAATCAAATGTGTCGCAATGGTAGAAAAAAACCTGTGTGTCTGAAAACTGTAAGTACTGGGGAGTACTTACCTTTTTGGGTTTTTTTTTAAAGGGGTTCTTTATTAAAAGAAGGTTGAGGAACACTGGACTGCAATAGCAGTTCCCAACCACCAAACTGGGAGGTACACGGCTCTTGCCCTGCCTCTCAGCCAACCAACACTGGGAAAGGGCAGTCAGCAACACATGGCGAGGTGAAGGGGGCAGAGCAGGCACCAGGGATTCTAGAGG